TATTTCTATTTGTACACTAGTGTGTACACACATTGTTACACCAAATCATTAGAAAAGCCAATTAAAATTTAAGATCAAGTGTAATATGTAGATCATTTTTCATGTAACAAAAACAAAATTTTTTAGTGAAAAAATTAAAAAATCTAAATATCTCAAAATTTCACATATGAAGCCACCTTTGGTGTTCTAATTAAAAAAATTTCTTGCTAAATTTTGCATATAACTATATTCTTACTAAATTCCAAATCTTGCTCTAACTCTAAAGTTAAAGAAATTTAAATTTTTTTAATAAAAATTTGTTTGTTTATTTTATTACATGTATACAAACACATGTGTAGGTTTAGAAATTTTCTAAAAATAAATCTTATTTTAAAAAAAAAAAAAAAAAGTGTTTTTAGTTGTTTTTTATAAAACTAAAAATTTTTGATGCTTGAGTTATAGTAAAAGTTTTTTTATTACTACTATCACCAAAATAAACTTTTTTGGCTTGAATATTAAGTATGCAAGAAATTTATCAAAAAAATAAGTTTGATTCAAGATATAAATTAGCTAAATATACTTACTTTTCAGTATTTTATATAAATAACCTTTATTAATAACAAGTATTATAAAACAAAACTCAAGTAGCTAAGAACTTTTAGGCTTTAAATTTCCAATCTGCTTTTGGTACAATCTTGGTCCAAGTAATTGTTAAAAAAATGATATTGTTTGGTATTTGTTATATATATATATTTATAAAAAAATAAAAAATATTAATATTATGATTTTTTTAAAAATTTGAATATTTATTTATTTTTTTATTTTAATAATTTAAAAACTTTATTTCCTAATACAAAAAATTATATTTTTAATTTAAATTAAAATTATATTAAAGTTTTTGTTTTAAAAAATTTGTATATAAAAATTATTAAAAAAGCTTTGTTTTATAAATTCTTATTATTAATAAAAATTAAACTTGGGCTTTCTCTTTCCTCTCCTATAACTAATAGTAGCTAGTCTTAAATTAGTTATAAATAGAAAATTACGAGGTGATTTGTTACACCTAGGCGGTTATACAAGATATAATAGATAGTTAAAATTTAATATCATCTTGATACAAATCTATAACTAATCTTATTATGTATACAGCAAATTCAAAATAAAAAAAATAAAAATAAAAAAAAATAAAAATCAAACTTTATTATTTTATATATTTTATATGGTTTTAATATTTTTTTTTAAAAAAACATACAAATAAAAATTATTGTAACATACTGTATTATTTCAAAAAAAAATATTAATTATATTATTTATACTGTATAAAATTCAAATATGTATACGTATATATAAGGTAAATATATAATTTTTTATTAATAACCATAATAAGCTGATTAAATAAAACATCAAATTTGGATTTATTACGAAATTAAACCTCAAATAAAACTACGTAGTCCTATGCGATATTTTAAAACTTAAATCATTATACCCTTTTAAAAAATTTATAGCAAAAAAGGTATAAACTAAAAAAAAAAAAGTTCTAAAAGTGTCAAAAAACAGGTAATACAAATAATAAAAACATGTATTATTACATACGTTAGACTAGCATATAATCCAAATAAGATTTTCCGAGCCAAGATCTTATGTACGTACGGGCGTATCGTACGTACGTACGTACGTAGAAACCGTAGAAACAATTATATAATTGACATACGTACAGTACGTATCCGAGTTCAGAAGGTCAAAATACGTAAAAGCGCAAGTGAATTTTATTACGTATGTATTTAAATGGTTAATAATTATTTAAATGCTTATCGGCCGATACGGTGAAACTGCATCGTAGAGATTGTAGAGAAACAGAATTACTATATATATCGATATATATATGTCGTACCCCAGATTGGAATCCGCCCGATTCAGAATCCGGCTGTCCCAATTCAGAATCGGGGTAGCCGGATTTAGAATTCTTATACGGGGTACCCGGTTCAATAATTAGTAAGGTTAGGATTAGGGTTAGAATATTAGTATAGTGAGCCGGGTACCCCGTATAAGAATTCTAAATCCGGCCGTCCTGATTCTGAATCGGGCAGCCGGATTCCGAATCGGGCGGATTCCAAATCCGGGTACAACATATATATATATATACTGTATTTATATATTTATAGATCTGTACTTTTGCATCTTAAAGAAATAAGCACCGAACAATAAACGAAATATGAAATATTTATTAATAAAGTAAATTATGTTTGAAAGACAAAAACTTTGTTAAAAATTTATATTTTTTAATGTTACATAATACGTATTTTTGTTTGTAAAAAGCTAAGATGATTTTTTGTACAATAAAAGAAATTTTAAAATGTAAATTCAAAAGAATTATTATTGTAACGTATGTATTTAGATGTACATGAGTACATACATATTCTTGGAATGGTGTTTACTTAACGTTTAATTTAACTTGAATGATTTGTCATACGAAACTCCTACTGGTGTCTTTTAACCCTTCTTTTTTTTTCAGGGTATATACGCATCAATATAGAGGTATATAGTTAGTATGTATATTATACGTATTATATATTAATACGTATATTACAATAGCCACTATATTATATATATATATAGAAAAATAGTACCGGCATAATATCTCCAATATCGATATTGCATAACGAAAAAATTATTGAGGATGTTGAATTTATTTTTTTCAAGGTTCAAATTAGTATGAAACTATGAAACTCATTTTTTTATGACCTACACGCCGATTTCCCCTTTTCGTTCTAAATTCAAAAATTTTATTAGGAAGATTTGTAACACAAACCATCTACATTTTACATACAAATTTATTTGTGCATATAAATAAATACGTGCCTTTAAAATTAGCCCAATTTCATGTTCTTTTTTATTCCCAAACAACTGATATAAATTCAACAACAAAAGAAAAGAATAACAGAAAATACAATCGTGTTTTCATATTTAAAAAGTATGAATACTTACAACCCTTATAAATTCGTAATAGTTGATAATAAAGCTAAAGGACCAGCAATTAAAGAAAAATCATCAAAACCATCAAAACCTGCATCCGTTACAATGACTTCAGTTTCTTCTGATGGGAAAAAAACTACAGAAGACAGGAAAAATGAAGAAATTATCCAAAAAAATGTTGAAACTATAAAAAAGGAAGATCAAGAACCTGAAACTAAACCACGAGAAAAGACGTGTGAGTTATATTTCCATATTTAAAATTTTAATATTTATTTTTTTGGGTCAGCGACATATACGTACATATTGACCTTTTTAATTATAGGGAACGTAATGAGGAAGAATTCAAGTAAATCCAAAGTCAGTCCTCCAAGTCCCATAAGCCCTACTACGAACGTTGCAAGTGTTGTTACTGCACCAACAAACTCTGATAGTATGGCAATTTCCAACAATGTACCTCTCGGTTCCGCAGTTGAAACGCCTTCTACTGAAACCAATGTTACACCAGAACCTTCATTAGTACCACAAGCCCCAGAAAACTCCACTTTATTCACATCGCCTCTTTCTATCTCTCCAACTTCACCTCCCAAGATTACCACTGAACCACAAGCAATACAATCACCACAAACACCACAAACACCACAAACACCACAAACCCCACAAAAGTCCTTTAATCCAGGTGGACTTGTCAAAAGAATGTTTAGTTCCAAAAAATCTTCACAACCACAATCTCCTGTGGCGAAAACTCCAACCACGATCTCAGCGGAAGAAAACGCAACCCCTGAAGATAAAACCAATGATAAAACAAATGAAGTATCAATTAATACGACACCAATTCAAGAAGACAATGATAAAAAAATTGAAGAAACAGAGATTATTGAGAAAGAAGAAATTCCAGAGCCAGCAGAACGTGATATCAAACAAAAATCAAACGAAGAAATTGAGGAAGAAGTTACAAATTCGGATAAAAAACCCAAAACAGTCGTTAAAGGAGGCAATGTACGAGACTTTTTCACACGTTGTATTGAAAAACTTCAACAAGAATTTGATGAACTTGACCGACGAATGTATTCAGGAGTTCCTCCACCTGAAGTAACTGCACGTGACATTCCGACAAACGAACTTCAGAATGTTGACCCTCAAAAAAGTGAACTTCAGAGAAATGAACATCATAAACTTGAACGAGAACAATTATTAGAACGAGCAGATACAGAATCAGATGTACAACCTAATGTAAAAGTTAATGGAGATGCACGAAGTGCTTTGGCCGATGCTGGTGAGGCACTTAATGAACGTGGAGAAAAACTCGGAGAATTAAATGAAAGAATTGGCGCTTTAGGAGGTGCAAGCGCCGAATTTGCTAGATTGGCTGCCGATATTAGAAAAAAGGAAGCAAACAAAAAATGGTACCAACAAATTTTTTAAATCGCAATTTTCAAAAAAAACTCCTTTGCGATTTCATTTTTCAAATTTATTTTTTGAGGAATCATGTTACAAATTTTATGTAGGCATTAATAAAATAATAAATAAGATTGATCATCGAATCTAAAGATACCTATCATTATATTATCATTATATATTATAATGAATTTATTTCTTTATTTGATGTTCATTTTTAATACGATAGCTTTTTTTTTTTTTTTTTTTTAGAGATCTATAAAGGAAAAAAAAAATTGTTTTTTTTGTTAAAATATTTTATTCTCTTTTTTTTTTTTTTTTTTTTTTTTGTCATGTTTCTGGTTTTCTTTTTTTTTTTTAAAGGTATTTAGTAAAATAATAATTTTTTATTGTACATATGATATTTTTATAATATACATCAATTTCATTACATTTTAACATTTATGTCTTGTATTTTCATTGCAAATTCTATTATCATTATCTTGGTAAAAAAAGAAAAAAAAAACAAATAAATTGATAAATAAAATAATTGAAAAATGGATATTTAATGGATGCTACCGCTTGTAACAATTGTGAAATTATTGTGAAATATTATGAAATATTGTGTAAATTATTTGTGAAATTATTGTGATTAAATATTGATAAAAATTTTCATATTAAAAATTTACAGATATATATTTTATTCGCGTTATATGTTATAAACGATTATACATTAATAGAAATTAAGCTTCCGAAAACATATTATTGAATGCATTTACCAAATTTTGTTGCATAAATTCTTTTTCGCGTCGTCTTAATCGTTGACGTCGCGACACGGATTGCTCAGCATCTATGTAATTTTTTATTATAAATATTTTCCGATCATACTTGTTTAATCAAAAATTACTCTTTTTTTACCTTCGATAATTTGGTACATTACTACATCGGTTGGCGTTGTTAATTTTAAGTCCTTATAAGTCAAGCTAAATTCTATGACACTTTATGTTAAATAATGATCAAATTTGATATAATTAATTAATAATGATCAAAATTAATATAATTAATATAATTGATAGTATTATTATTAACCTTTCTTTTAGCCTAACCGAAAATTCAATTGAATTGTATGCATTATTAGATTTCAAATTGGAAACACCCACATCTTGTTGCATTATTTTAGATTCTTCACGTCTGGTAACAAATGCTTGTAAATAATCATGAAGTGAATTTACAAATTTCTAAAAAACAATTAAACAATTAAAAATATTTTTGTGAATCTAAAAAAAAAATCAAAAAAAAAAAACTTACATCTATATCTTCATTGAGATAATCGGACTCCAATTCATTCAAAGGAATGAAATGTGGTATCGTATGTTTAAAAACACTTAATTGTCCATTTTCCTTGTCCTGACTAAGAATAACATAATAAGGCTCCTGATATTTGCCTAATGAAAAAAATTAAGATTCAAGTTAAAATTTAATTAGTAAGATTTTGAGAATCATAGCATTTTTTTTAATAAAATTATTAAATATACTTTAGATATAGTTGATATAGTTGAGCAAAAATGAATTTACTACCTCCATAAAAGGTTTCAAATCTCAATCCAACACGGTTTTCTTTTAACGAGAAAATCGTTTTACCAGTGAGACGGTAGGCCCTCAAGAATTCCTCGCATTCGCGTCGTTTACTGGCCCGAAACATCTCTTGAACAATCTATATATGTATATTCATATTAGTCGCGTATATTTTAACTCCTCATAAGTATATTAAAAAAAAAAAACTTACTTTTTCTTGAATTTCAAAATTGATTATCGATGGTATCTCAAAATTTTCTTTAGAAATGACATCGCGTAACATTATTGAATTCTCTTCTACCTCAAGTACGCGTTTTAATTCATCGCGTTTTTTCAGTAATTTTTGTACTTCATGATTCATTTGTGGAATTTTTTGAGGCTATAATGTATCTATTTAGTAAAGAGCGGTAAAATATTTATTATTTATACCCAACTTGGAAAGAGAAATTCATGAAATTCATGTGATTGTTCCTATCAAGCGAGCGTATTTAACCAATCAAATCAAAGAAATTTCTTGTACGTTATCATGTATTCGTATAACAGATAAGTGTATATCTGATATTATCGTTCTTATACGTAGATGTAGCGATGGGAATTTCTACGTAATTATCAATTGTTAACATGAAATTGTTAATAAATCATTTTTAACAATTATTATCAACGAATTAAAACATAATTTTCCGATATTTTTTATGTACTCGTAGCGATAAAAAATTATTGTCGCGGCTGATGCTGGAAACGGCTGAAGCTGGAAATCAGGGACCCTGATTTAAAAATATAAAC